AATAACAATCAATGAACACATAAAATCCAAAGAAAAACATAGAGGTTTTGATGTCGAAGTAAGATTTATCAACTTGATTCTTTTATGCAATGAGAAGTTTCATACTCTATTAGATCATCTTGATCATGTTCACCATCTTTATATACCAAATGGGCTTTAGGATTCTTCCCTTTTACACTCTCTTGATAGAGGTCACAACGATGTTTGGAAGTCCTACATATCTTAGCCCAATGGTTTCCCATTCCATATCTATGGCATACTCATTTGGTCGAGTGTTGTGGTTTGGAAATACCACATCGTCCTCGCCCTCGACCACGGCCGGAATTGGGTCTACATCCAAGGTTAAAGTGGTTCCCACGGCCGGATGAGTTATAGTGGCCACAACCACGTCCTTTCAATACCACATCTATGGCATACTCATTTGGTCGAGTGTTGTGGTTTGGAAATACCACATCGTCCTCGCCCTTGACCACGGCCGGAATTGGGTCTACATCCACGGTTATAGTGGTTCCCACAGCCGGATGAGTTATATTGGCCACAACCACGTCCTTTCCATCCACCACGGTCACGGCCGTGTGGTCTATCACTTTAGACGTGGTTAGATTCTTTGGATTCTTTCTTATCCTCTGCGGCCTTATTGGCATTAGGTAATGGGGTTAATCTATGAGGTCGTAATTCACTGTTTTTATCTGTAAGTCATTATTTTGCTCATCTAGCAATAGACTCATCCACGGACTTATAGTCCTGGATTATGAGACTCTCAATAAGATGGTGGCTAATATTGCCTTGTATCTATCTTTCTCTCTTGGCATTCTTGCCTTATTAGATACATTCACTAAGTCCTTTTGACTTTAGGATAATCTTAGTATCCATTGCCCATTTTAAAATAATTATCTCCTAAGAGATTTAGGGCAGTAAAGTACAAGTTGTAATTCAACATCTACAAGGAAAAGTTTTGAGTCAAAATCATGTAATCGTTAGTGTCATGCAGTATTTGAGACCGGACCATGAATCGATTTACTTAGGGATTTGACTTTCCTCTTTTGCTTAGGATTAGATTTCCTCTTTTGCTTAGGATTAGATTTCCTCTTTTAATTAGGATTAACTTTTCCTTTTCCTTTTAGGATTTACTTTCCTCTTTACTTTAGGATTAATTTTCCTATTTCACTTATAATTTTAGATTTTTAAGATTTCCTATTTAGGATTTGGAAATTTTCTATTTCTTAAGGTTTTCCTATTTTGAATAGAATTTATGAATTTCCTAATTTAATTAGGATTTAGGGTTTTAAGATTTCCTATTTTAATGAGGATTTAGGGTTGTTAAGATTTCCTATTATCCCTAAGATTTAGGGTTTTAAGATTTCCTATTTTATTTAAGATTTTAGGTTTTTAGAGTTTCCTATTTTATTTAAGATTTTAGGTTTTTAGAATTTCCTATTTTATTTAAGAGTTTTAAGTTTTAGGGTTTTAAGATTTCCTATTATCCCTAAGATTTTAGGATTTTAATATTTTCTTTTAGGATTATCTTTTCTAAGTTTTTTCTAGGGTTCATGCGATTTTAGTTTTAGGGTTTCTAACAACTTATGCATGAAATCAAACAAAGAAACAATCAATCTAACAAAACAACCTCAACCAAACGTGATTTAGAATTTAGGGTTTTGATCCGATTAAAGTGTTTTTAATTTAGGGTTTATGTCTTTTAGGGTTTCGGATTCTATGTTAAGATGTTTTCGATTTGCGAGTTTAGGATAAGCAATAACAAGCTTTCTAGCAACCTAAACAAGACAGGCAAACGAGCAAGCGAAAACAAACAAGCAATCGGATCAAGCAAGCAATCGAATCATACAAGCAAAGCAATCACTTAATCAATCATCATTCGTTTTAGGGTTTCTCTTTGCTTAACTTTCAAGTTCAATTGTTGGTTCTTTAGCTTTAGGGTTTTGATGTTACCTTTCACCTTATGGGGTTGTATGGACTAGAACCGGGAGCTAAAGACCTCGGTAACTCACGCTGCTGCAACGAACCGCAAACAGTACCACGATGATCAGTACCGCGATGAACAGTGTCGTGATGAACAGTGTCGCGATGAACAGTGTCGGCGGTGAACAGTGTCGGCGATGAACAGTATCGGCGATGAACTGTGCCGCGATGAACTGTGTCGGCGATGAACTGTGCCGCGATGAATAGTGTCGGCGATGAACAGTGTCGGCGATGAACTGTGCCGCGATGAACAGTGTCGGCGATGAACAGTACCGCGATTTTTAGGGTTAGGGTTGTTAAGAGCAAACTCGTGCTGATAACGTGTTATAAAACTTGTTGTTCTATTGATTAATGAATGAGGTTTCGATACATATATATACATGATGAGGGGAGACAAATCCCCATTGGGCTAGTAAACCCTAAAGCCCAAAAGCCCACTAAGTATTAAATATAGGCCGTCATAAGGAGAATCTTCAAGAACATGGACATGGGCCTTCTAGGATATGGATTAGGCCCACGGTTATGGAGTCCATCTAATATGTGATTTATAACACTTACAAGTATGCAGTCGTAGAAAATTCAAAAGAAGGCAAATTGAATAACCAACTCAGCCACATGCTTTGGTCTCCCTTACTCACTTCTCCTTCTTATTTCTTCCTCTTCTTTCTTATCCTCTTTGTACCATTCTTACTTATATATACTCCTTCTTACATGTCTATATTCGAACATATACTTTTCAAAGAAACCCAAAGCCCCCACAAAAAAAGGAAAAGATCACTTAATATTTTAGCATGACGAGGCAAAGAATGATTACAGTTGAGTCGCCGAAGAAGAAAATGGGTGGAATTGTGAAGCTCAAGAATGTTGTAGAGAGGTTGGTGCAAATCAAAGGCTTTTCCTCGACCAAGAAACCATGTTCCGAAGAATATAGCCGTGATTGTGTCCCAAAAGACGTGAAGGAAGGTCATTTCGCGGTGATAGCCGTTGATGGGTATCATGAGCCTACACAAAGATTTGTTGTCCCATTGATGTTTCTAGAACACCCTATGTTCCGGAAGCTTTTGGAACAAGCAGAGGAGGAATACGGGTTCTATCACGATGGAGCTTTGATGGTACCTTGCCGGCCAAGCCACCTACGAATGATATTGACCGAGCAATGGTGTTAGAATTTATGCTGTAGTTATAACTGTTCTACTTCATATTACATAATAAAACCGAATTATTCACTAGATGGACTTATCTTGTGCTTCCTAGTCACTTGAGATTTTCACTATGCTATTGGTATCCAATGAATAAACTATTTTCTCTAACCTCAAACTTGCAAAATGAACGGTTTAAATTACTTCGGCGAATTTTAGTCTTAATTAGAAAAACAAAACTCAATAAAATGGTCCAAAACTCGGTGATTTTAAATATTTTCTATCGTGAAACAATCCATTAAAAATTGTTGTTTCAGTGTTGTTGGACTTGAGTTATGACTTTTGGCGAAAAGAAAAAAAATGACTTGATGAGTTAGGACTCTTTTATGAAATGGTGATTAGTAGTTGAAAAATCTCATCAAAAGTGTGTTTATTATAGAAACCCTAGGATGTTATTGTTCTAAAGCAAGATGTTGTAGTAATAATACACGAAGCCTAGACACAAACAAGCCTCGATGTCTTAATGGACCTTCTTAGTCCACTTTACAAACTTCTGTTACCTCAAATATTCTTACACATGATTAGGATTGGAAAAGTGAAAGTGGGGGACCGATATTTGTTATAGCTTTGGTTCGAATATACTAGTAACTTCACACTGATGTGGAGAGATACGAGACGTCTATTGACATTAAGTCTTGTAGATATTTTATTGATGTTTTTAACCATATACATAAATGTATGTCACAGTAGGACGATGCACATAAAACCAAGAGAAATGGTAGGACAATGTACACCAATCCGTACTTGCATTTTCTTAATCAGTGCCCCCTCCATATCCCCCTATAATGTATACCCACACATGACTTGGTAGAAGTTGATTAGGACGTGTCTAAATATGGGCATTGTATAAAGTTTTATCGCTTTTATAGTTTCTAACATTTTTTCCTTAGAAAAGTGGTTTCAACAATTGGGATTCGATTGTTTTGGTTTTTAAGTTTAAATATCAAATGAAAATACAATCTTTAATGTTTCAATCCAAGTTTCTTTTGTAAGTTGTAAATGCAAATGAAGAGAGGAAAATAAAAGGAATTAAATCTTATTTTATGACGGTTCTTTTGTATTCTACAATAAAAATTTATGAAAAATTCATAGTTGAAAAAATTGTTTTTTGTTAAAGAAAAAAATATCTTAAGATTTTCTATTTTTCAATACCAATGCCAACAATAGAATGTCTTAAGATTTTTAGATATAAATGCAAAAGAAAAAAAAATGGGTTTGAAACACTTTAGATTATAATCGAATGCCCAGTTTGATGATTACTTGTTGATTAATATAGCTTTATATATATAAATGGAAAATTTCGATTAATGAAAAATATATAAAATGGAAATATGTGTAAACTGAATGTCAAGTCACTTTTTGGGACAACTCACACTGTTATAGAAAGATCATACGTTGGCTGTTGGCATTAATTTGTGAAAGTGATTTATAGTTTGGACTGGTTGTGGCAATGGTGTTTCTCTAAAATACTTCCGTCAGGAGTTGTCATCGAATTTGCTTACAAATTAAAAAAAACGACAAATTTCCACACTATATGAATTGTCCTTTTGATCATTTCTTCAAAATTCTCTCCAATTCCTTTTTTTTTTTAATCTCTGTAAAAAGTTTTCTACCAAAAAACTTGCACAAAAAACGTCTCAAACGCACCCCTAATTTCTCGTCTTACTGGAAACTGATTGTACAATTTAGGGTTATTAGATAAGAGAGTTGAATAGAAAATTCTGATCATATTTTTATATAAGCATCGATTAACCAAACCGTTTTTATGTGAGTTAATTCCCAAACCAACATCATGTACGATACGTTCAACACATGCATTACGTGTGAAGGTTCACAACCAGAGGTATTTGTAAACTTAATATTTGTTTTATATTTGGCAAAATCAAAGTCAAGGTATAAGCCGACATGATGGTGGGCTGGTGGTTTGGCGGGCTCAGGGTGGTTGGGTGCAATTCCCTCCTCTCCATGGTTCGACTCCTCCTGCTGTTATCAACATTATTGTGGGAAGTCTGTCTGTTGGGCTTTGGTCCAATTGGTTTATCTGCTAGTCAAAAATGCAGGCGACCTGACTATCCTCTGGCACTTAGTTGGAAGACATTCCAAACTCGGGATAGGAAGAGTGGTAGCCCGTAAGGGCCTAACGGTTAACACGGTGGACCAGTCCACTATGTAGCACCTCGGTGCGTTCCTACCGGGGCCGACCGGATAGCCGATAGAGTTTATAAAAAAAAAAGTCAAGGAATAAACAAAAACTATCGTAAGGATAAAGAGAACAACCAAATGAGTTAGGAGTATGAATCTTTACTTTTTGCTAGAGTGTTCCGTATGGAAACCCAACAAAAAAAAAAAAAAAAAAAAAAAACAGATTTTTAAACAAAAATGAGAGCTCAAATCTGTTGGATCAGCAAAAAAAAAACACATCAAATCTGATGCATCTAGAAAAATATGTATGGCTTTTGAATCTCCTCTATAAACCCTAGGTGTCGTTATTTTTTTTTCTTTCTAGGTGTCGTTATTTACTTGAAAACTGTATTAGGCCCAAAGAAAAAAAAAAAAACTCGAATGTTGTTGTTGTATTATACCTTACATTTGTTGTTGTGTAGAACAGTCAAATGTCAAATTTATATCATGAAGACGAAAATATCAAAGCCATAAAACACTCCTATTTTTTAGCCACACAGCCTAACAAATTCCAAGGAAATACTAGTGTAAGGAAATGAAAGAACCTTACTTTAATTTAATGTCGATACAAAAATAAATAAAATTTTGATGCCTGTTGGTCGTGCCCTGCTGCTCCTCAACAATGACAAGAGCCAATAAATATGAAACAATAAAAATTACTATGCATATAAATGGGTACTTGTGGCCACTTGGGAAAGTATGTCGGGAAAACATGGAGCTTAACCGGCTAGGTTATTTCAACTTGGAAACAGACTTTCTTCGATCAAGGATGAAAGATTGGCTGGTTCACTTCACTGTTGGTTTGCTTCTAGAAGTTCATAAGTAGCCCAATTCTTTTAATTCTTTAAGACCTTTCGAAACAAAGTTGCACTTATTGTAAAAAAACGTTTTTTTGGTTTGAATAAATTTTGCATTCAATTCAAAAAAAAAAAAAAAAACTTGGAGAGAGCGGTCATAATATTCGAGAGAAAAAAAGAAAAGAAAAAAGATTATATTGAAGTTTAACATCTTATTGAAGCTTGGAACATGTTACATGTGTAACCGAATCATGAAGTAGAATTACATCAGTTTTTGGATGGTGGCTTAACTTGATTTCACTAGACCGGATTACTATATTAAATTTGAAATTATAAACGTAAATTAATAATTTATAAATGAGTAGAATAGTTATCATGTGTCAGATTGTTAAATAGACGTGACTCCATCTTGCCTTCTTTCAGTGCTACAATCATGTTTGCTTCTCTTGACATAGCTTCTTGTTGACATTCGCTAACCTTCTTTACATTTAGAAGTTAGATCACTCTTTCTCTCTAATTCTCTTTATTTATTATGTCTCTTTGATAAACACAAAAACAGTTTAGTAACTTAGAGAGATAATGTATGAACTACGTTTTGTTATTGGATCAAATGATGGTTTCTTACAACAACTCACACACATACGTATAGTGGTTTCTCTACTTACCACATACACTTGCATCCATACTTCTACTGACTAGCCATTACTTCTAGACATAATTATCCTACGGTTCACTTAAGCAACCTTAACTACAACAAATGTTATACTTAGTCCTCCTTAGCTATGCTTTAACCTAACAATAACACTCTTTCTTCTTTGGGCCTAACTTAAGTAATTGCCCAATGTTACCATGTTTACAAAACACAAAGCCCAACTCCTTCTTCTTGTTGACTTGTGTCCTTTCTTCTTGTGTGCTTCTTCTCTTTTCTTCATCTTCTTCTTATCATGAAGCTTTCTTTTTGTTCCAAGGTTTAATCAAAGGATACAACTCCAACCCTTCTTTATTTACAAACATATTGCCTTGATGACTTCCTCCATTCTAAGAGTGAAACTTGGTAATTTTTCAAAAAAATAAGAATATGTATATAACTCTATTGAGTAACTAAACAAATTTTCTATTTTTTCTAAAAAGCTTTGGATATCGTTTTTTTTTTCCATATGGTGAATAATATTAATGGTAAAATAAGATCCGTTACAACTCAAACTTGAAATCAATCAAGGAGAAAGCAGGTTAGAACAAAGAATCACTAACCATCAAGAACCAAAAATTAGTCACTAAATTAGACTAACAACAGACACATCACTACACAATAGAAGAGAATCTCTTATCCTCAAAAACTCTGTGGAGCCAAAAGGGATGACCTGCTGCCACAAAATCCTAAAATCTTGCATCTGAATTAACAGTTTGAGCAATAAAAGATGCACCTCTATTAGAGGATGAAGTTTCCACTTCTAATTTTCAGTCTGTTAACTTCTCCAAAAATGCAGAATTTCTACCACTTCTTGAGTAAATGAAGGCCAAGCTTGAGGCCTTACCAACACATCAAAAAGATCCTTCGCCTCCGCCGCGAAAATGATCTTGTTAAGTCTCAGGCTAAGCAGACTTTCAATAGCCCAAACCAAACAACAAACCAACAAATCTTTCTCTATGCAAAATAACCACTCTTTTCTCATCTTTGATAACCCAAGATCCTCTCCCAATCTTATTCTTGTTTGACCAAGACACTCCAATATTACACTTGACCCAAAGCTTGGGAGGATGCTCCCAATTCCTTACATTTGGAGATAAAACTCCATCCTCATTATCCACATAATAAAGAGGAGCCTGTTGAGCCAAAAACCATTCATCCACATCCTCAATAATCTTCCCTATCGTTTCTAAGGGACAAAACTGCAGACCTTCAAAGAAAAACTTATTCCTATTCTTCCACAACCTCCAAAGGATCCAGGAAAACATCCTTTTAGAGTTACAAGACAACCTTGTATCCAACTTAACTCAAAAAGGAATTGGAAGTTAGCATACAGAGAAGAGAAGGAAAACCCCTCCTACGGG